CATTAACTAAACATATTCCACATCTCATGTGGGTGTATGGGTTCATCCTCCTGGTTAGAAGTGTGTGAGTGAGGAGCTTGTCTGTGTATCTGGAAGGGTTTGGATCAAGTGAAGCTAAGTCATGTTGTCATATGTTAAACTGACAATTCTGATTTAGCTCCTAAAACACCAACACATCCTCTGGCAGGGCTAGATGGCCTAAGTGCTGTGGAGTGCAGGTTGAGTTGATTGGAAACATTTCCTTTAGAGGAATTTTTAACATATTATTACCTTGAGCAAACTAATACAGTTTCTAAAGCATACTAGAATGTAACAACTTTTTAAAGAAGTGGTTTCTCATGTAACTATTTACCTCTATCAGCCAACTTTCCTGTCATTGTCATATGATAGACACATATCCTAGACTGTCAACCCATTAGAAGAGATGGTTTTGAGGTAATACATCATGGTGGCACCATGTGACCAAGTCACTCACTTCCTAGCCAGGAACCAGAGAGGGAAGGAGGGAGGGAGGGAGGGAGAGAGAGAGAGAGAGAGAGAGAGAGAGAGAGAGAGAGAGACCCATGGTCCCACCCCCTCCAGGGGATCTGATGCCCTCTTGGGTCTCTATGGGCACCTGCATCCAAGTACACACAGACACACACACACACACAGACACACAGACACACACACACACACACACAGATTTTTTTTTTAATGAAGTGTAGTTTGTGTAGCTTGGGAGGTGGAAGTACACTGTCCCCTCCATTGTTGTAGCCGAGCCTAATCCTTAGGCAGTGCATGAGCGAGCGCTCCAGCTTCTGGTGTGGCACACTTCGAGCCAGTATTGTCTGATAGCTGCAGCATGCCAGTCAGATGGAGACTGGAAAACGTAGGGAAACAATGAGTGAGTCTGGCTCATAGACCACTCTTTGTCATAGACTTTTAAGGAACAATTTTGTTTTAAATGTATTCCTTAAAAGAAAGAGTAGTCATGACTACCAGGAGATTGTTATTCATCCCAGGAACTTGGTCCTCATTGAAAGGTTCAGTCATTATGCTGGCCTGCCCCTGTTACCTGGCAGAACAGGCAGTACCCTGGTCAGCTCAGGGTTCCATGGGAACTAAGTCTGCACGCAGGTGCAGAGGACCCTTTTAAAAGACAGACCCTGCCCATTTACGCTCTCTCTACTCTTCTCTCTACTCTTCTCCTCTTCTCTGTCTGTTTCTCTTCTCTCTCTCTCTATGGTGACTGGCCATGGCGGTCAGCCATTAACCATGTTCCTCTTCTCTCTTAGTCTCCCTACTCTGCCGGGCCTATAATAAACTGGTTAATATGTACCCCCTTTCTTCTTTATCTTTAATTTAAACAAAAGAATAACACTCATTCCTGCAGATAATGGATGCATCGTGTAAAATGAGCTTAGAACTTCTGATAGGTTGTTTGCTGAACTTGTACTTTTCAGAATAGTCAAACAGCGCCATAAAATTGTCTCCTTAATTATTTGCTTACTACAAACACAGACACAATGTAGGCTTAGGTTTCTTAACATCTATAAATAGATTGCTGTGTTAGATATTAAAAGCAAGCACATGTCTTTCCTGAAACCAAAAGTAAAAGGTTGGATAGAGGCAAGAGAACTGCTTATAGTTTCCTTAATGATCACACCTTTCCTGGTGCAAGTGTGTGGAAAGGGGTGCTTTGGGACTAAGAGAGGAAAGAGGCAGAACTCTGTTCGGAGGGCAGAGTTTTCATTGGCTGGTATAGGACTGCCGATCACTCTGTCTCCTCAGGCAGGGCATCATCTGGGGTGGTGGACTACACAGGGAGCCTTCCTCATCATTTGCAGTTAGTAACCTCATGCCCAGTAGAAGCTCTGCTCCAGAGCATTCTGGGCTTTCCCAGGGCTCCACCCTGGGAGGTAGTGGAGTCCGTAGTTTTACAGACTGGCTGACACAGCTTCCTGAGCTCTCCAGCTCACAGTTCTCCATGTTTCCACACACCTCTACGCTCGCCAGTGAGGCGTATAGAAAATGATTCCATAGTCAAAATGAAAAGTCAGAGGTGATTTCCAACATTTGAAGCTGTTTGGAGAAAAAGCTCATGGCATGTGTGCCTCTTGAAAGTCTAGATTAGAAAAGGCAGTCTAAGGGCAGTCAGACATGAGGAATCTAACTCCAGGAAATGGAAGCATTTAAACCAAGGTATTTCTCAACTTGTGAGTTTGCCTGATGGGAAGCACAAGCTGTTGCACGTGCTGCCAGATGGGCAGGTGTCACAGGCATGTACAAGAATGAATGTGGGGCTTCACATACAGCTCACCCTGAGAGATGAAGTAGCCAGGTGGTCCTTGGAAGACGTACACTTCTTTGTTCTTTTTTGTCTGCAGGGGGGCTTCTCCACTTTGCAACACCCATGGATCCTCTGTTTCTGCTCCTTCACTACCTCATAAAGGCTGGCAAAGAGGTGAGCTTCCCACTGGGGTGATTGCAGGGAGGGGCAGAAGATTCTCCTCTTCACAGTGTGCTTCAGTTATTAGAATATGTGTCACCAGTGTGGGTCAGAGCACTGTGCCCTCCCCCAGGAAGCAGCACCTTAATGGTGATCGGGTTTGCTACTAGGTCTCTGTGACCTCAGTAGCTTAGCATGCCACTCTGTACCTCAATGGAAACCATGACTAGCAGTGAAAACTTTTTACCACTAAGTGCTTAAATGGGAATGCTAAGAATTTGGCCAGGAGATTTCCCTTTTTATGTGAATGTCTGAGAAATAGGTAAGCTGGAGTATGCCTAGTAAAAGCTAATGGGGAAGCTAAGTATGGCTGGGACTTGAGCATCCAGAGCAAAAGCACGCATTTCTCTCAGCACTCCATCTCTTGGGGCCTTCCCTGATGATGTCTGTGCCTTGAGGTACAAGGCAGTAACTGGATAAGCGCATTCCTCACACAGTAGGGATAACTGCATTCAAGATGGAGATCTAAGTAAAATTCATTGATTTGACTACTTGAGCAAGAATATAGTCTTTTGTTTGTTTCACTGGTTTTTTGCATTTGTTATTGTTGTTGTTTGTTTTAAAGAGATTTATGTGTATGTGTGAGTGACTGCACATATTTACAATATGTATGCCTGGTACTCATCATGGAGGCCAGAAGAGAGCCTCACAGCTCTGAGAACTGGAGCTACAGGCAACTGTTAGCTACCATGTAGGTGCTAGGTCCCCCGAAAGATTAGTAAATGTTCTTGATCTCCGAGCCTTCTCTCTAGCCCCACCAAGCAAGGCTTTCTTAAGGGAAATTGGCAGTCTCAAAACTGCAAGAATACAGTGTGTCCTCAGGTGCTTTGGTGGCACTGCCTTAACTCCAGCTAAGGAGCTCAGTTATGCCCAACGTTGTTTCAGTTACCAGTATCATGTCAACCTGATGCAAGTGCAGGTAGCCTCTTAGAATTATTATGAATGTAGATTTGAGCTTGGGGACCCCTTAAAGAGGAATTAGGGGTACTCAAGAGTCTATCAGTCAACTTGAAAATCTTTGAGCTCACTACTTGAATGAGTGTTGCCTAAACTGCTTAGGGCAATCTATATTTCTTGGACTCTCATATTTGCATATAAAGTAAATGATTACAGTTGATTTTATTTGGTCTTTAAATCAAACTCTCAAAACTTTATTTTATGGGTTGGTTGATTTTAAGTTGTTGTAAATACTGAAAATCATAAAACTCACCCAAAGCTTTTATTCCTGCTTTCCCTTTATATACTTCCTTCTCTCCTTTTATAGTATATTAGTGGAGTCCTGCCTCGCAGCTGACTCACTTTTATCTGAAAAACTGCCATGATAGCCAATATATTGGGGCACACAACAGTGAGGCTATTGTGCCTCATGTCTCTAAGCCATAGAGATGGTTCTAGTTATTGCCAGGAAGCTGTAGGAGGATTCGGAGATGGATTTAAAAACTTCAGGTGGGTCACAAGTGTGGTGTTTTAAATTAACAGGGAGAAAGGTACTAGGCACTCACAAGACCCAGTTTTAGTGCTCCTCAGCCTGACCTTCCAGGAGCCCCTTGAGATGCTGTGTGGTAAATTCAAGGTACAGATGCAGAGTGAAGCAGAGTGGTGTTCACCAGAGCCACTGTGCTTTTCTTCAGTCCTGGAAGTGTAAACACATTGGTGTCTATTATTTCTTCCCTACATTTTAGATGGGGTCATATCTAATTTAGTCATTAAAATATTGTCCCCATTTTTTAATTCGACCTGTTCTTTTTAAATCACAACCTTTAACCACTCTTATTGCCTATATTTAAAACAGATTTTTATTTTACTTTTTTATGTACATGTAGCAAAGAAAGTAAGAATACAATAGCAATAATAAAACTTCTATCATGACTGTGGTACCATACATGTCAGTACTGTTTAAAGCAACTAAGTATAGAAATACTGGTTGATCATGGAAGACAAACCTTTAAAGTAGAAACCTAGAGACTATAACACTGGGGAGCCTGGGTTAGGTGGAAGACCATTTCAACCGGGCATTTCTTGCCTCTTAGCCAAATGGAAAAATATAACAAGTTATCACATGTACTGTGAAAGAAAGAAGAGGATTCACCTTGAAAACCAGAGAAAATCGATCAGTCACACGTCTGCCTTTAGAAGTTTGGTCACAGAAACAGAGAAACAGAGGTGGGACCTGGACATACAGCGAATCCGTTCCTAAGCCTGGCTCCCAAATCAGGAGAATGTCTTCATCAGACACGCTTTCCCTCTGCCATTAGGAAAGCTAAGAGAAACTACATCTGGGACCATCTGCATGGCTCACCCTTGACAGCTGTGCCAGCTTGTCTGTCTGGGTGTGTTTTAGCCTGCTTGTGTCTCTGTATTTACGCCATCATTGCCTTTTTCTTTATTCCTGTCTAATTTGGAAGCCTCAGCTGATGGCTCCCAGAGGAATGGGTTCACTTTGGGAATTTTTCTTTTTGGAGTAGGGGTCTTTTTGTTTTTTTTTTGTTTTTGTATTTGTTTGTTTGTTTGTTTGTTTTTCTTCAGTCCTGGAGTGAAGACAGGGAAGCAGATAATACATTTTGGGTTTGGTCTGTCTGGGCTTATTCTAGGCCTGTGTGACAGTGGGGACTTCTGCTCTGTGACCTCAGCTGGCTCTCTTTCATATGGAATAGCTGAACCATCTTTTCAGTCCTGTCTCTGTTTTCCTGGGATCTTCTGTTTCCCACAGTGGCTGTACCCTTGATGTTTAGAAGCCCCTCTTCACAAGAGGAGCTCAGGGCTGGCCCTTGCTATCCCGGTTTAGAAGCCCCTCGGTGGAAGTGGGAGCTCAGATGCTAATGTGAAGATTTCCTGTGGAATGGTCCGTTGTTCTCTGTTCTTTGTGGAAAAGCTCATTGACCTGACTATTTGTGACCTGACTGACTCAGATATCCCTTTCAGGGAAAGTATCAGCCCTTGGATCAGGTGGTAGTGGACGACCTGTTTCCAGATTGCGTCTTGTTGCTGAGATTTCCTGAGCTTGAGAAGTCACTTCGGCATGTGACAGAGGAGAAAGGTATGGCGCACAAGCCTTCGGAATCAGGCTGTGGTCATGTGGACCTGTGAGGCTTTCACCAGGGAGATTTGAGAGATGGAGTACATTCTGGAAAGGCCGAGAAGTCACACAGTCTTTGAAAAGGAAGCACAAGGGAGCCTGAGCTTGGGAGATGGAGCTAGAGGGAAATAACTGTTTTGACGTAGAACCATCGGAATCTGGTGATGCAGTGGTGCTCACGTGTAGGAGGGAGTCCAGCGACTCTGGGCTGGAGCCGCAACCTAGCCCAGAAGACATGCACTATGGTATCCAGGAGATGGAATGTGGAGCAGAGGAGCAGGCTGGGGAGTGAAGATCATGCTTATGGTACTAGTCACAGGTGTTTTGAAAGGAAATGAGCGATGTGCATGTTGGTGCATATAGTGATGGGCTTCATAAAGACAGTTTCATTCAAGTGTATCATGAACTTTGAGACTCATGCAATATAATGAATAAGAATGGAAAGCACCAACACCCGTACCTCATTCACAGTTTTAGAGGAAATAATTTGAGGTTTCCTCATTTAGTATAATGTTGGCTGTGCCTGCCATGCATGGCCTTTGCTGTGCTGGAATATATTCCTTCTCTGTAGTCGTATTTCTTCTCCATAAAAAGATGTTGGGCTCGTTAAAGGCCCTTTTTCATCTATTGAGATGATCATGTGATTTCTGTTCTTGGGTCTATTTAAATGTTGTTATTAAACTTACTGATTTGCATATCTTTAACAAAGCTGGAATCTGGAATGAAGCTAACTTGGTCATGAATGATCTGTTTATTGTGCTGTTTGTTGAATTGAGTTCTCAAGTGCTTTATCGAGAATTGTTAGATCCATACTCATTACTGGTTGGTAATTTTCATTTTGTTGTTTCACCCCTATTCAGTTTGGATATTGGGGTACTGACTTCATGAAACAAGTTTGGTTGTTCCTGCTCTGGGTCTTACACAGTACTTTGAGGAGCACTGGTACTCTTATTTAGCAGTTCATGAGAACCAGAAGCTAGTGTTCTCATCCAGTCACTGACTCAGGGTCTCAGCATGTTTCTGGGCAAAGAGGCTCACAATTAGTGAGACACAGGAAAGGACTAAAGCAGGTCATGAACTTGGCCTTGACTGAGACATTTTTTTCATAGTACAAGCCAGAGCTGGGCATGTAATTAACAGGCAGGTAAGGGAAATTGACTAGTGCAATCGCCAAGATTATAACCCAAGAGGCTGGGGAAGAGGTTCTGCAAGCTTCTTCTTCTTTTTTTTTTTTTTTTAAATTTTATTTATTTATTATGTATACAACATTCTGCTTCCATGTATATCTGCACACCAGAAGAGGGCACCAGATCTCATAACGGATGGTTGGGAGCCACCATGTGCTAGGAATTGAACTCAGGACCTCTGGAAGAGCAGTCGGTGCTCTTAACCTCTGAGCCATCTCTCCAGCCCTCTGCAAGCTTCATGGTTGTAGGAAACCTTGAGAAAGTAGAAATAAAAATGTGCTCTAGGCAATTTGTTCAATAAGTCATTGGGGGAAATTCAGGTTTTCACACAGATTACCAAATTACTAAACATGTTATTTAATCATAAAATTACTGTTTTAGCCTTTTTTAACCTTTATTTTGTAAACTCAATCTTTCCAGATGCTTGAAGCTGGTTTTAGAAGCACCAGATGCATAAAGGGAATAAACCTTTCTACCATATACACATATTGTCTAACTCACCAATTCACAAGTATTAAGTTTAGGATAGATATGCATGAGGTTTGTTGTTCTTTTTTCTTTCAGTCTTTTTTTTTTTTTTTTTGAGATTTTCATATGTGCACATCATCTCCATCCCACCCTCCCCACCTGCAATTGCTGTGTTCCCCTCCAAATTCATGACCTCTTCTTCTTTTAATTATTATTGTATGGTGATATCTTGCTTGTACAAACAAAACCTGTCTGAAGATCAGAGAATGGAGCTTGCCACCAGCTTATCATAGAGGTCTGGAGGTCTGTACAGACAGACAGGAAGTGAGATGGCTGGGCAGAGAGAGAATATAAGTGGGCAGAAACAGGAACTGGCTCTCTTGTCTACTGAGATGCTAAGGAGGTAAGGTGTGGCTGTGGCTTGCTATTCCTTCTCTTTGATCTCTCAGCATTTTCCTCTATATCTGACTCTGGGTTTTTATTATTTAGACCAATATAACTCCCATTTACATTATTGTTACACACACACACACACACACACACACACACACACACACACAGAGAGAGAGAGAGAGAGAGAGGCGTATGTACATAAATTAATATAACCTGTTGAGGCATTTGGTGGTGCTCATGTATCTGTATTGAGGGAGTGCATAGCCTCTCAGGGGACTTGTACCTGGAGTAGTCTGGACTGATTCTCCCTCTTTGAGCAGTTGTTAATTGCCTGCAGCTCTATCTTTGTGGGGCCTTGTGTGATTTCACCATCCATGCTGGAATGTCAATTCTGGTGTCATTTTCAGGCCAAGTTTAGACAACTAAGATTTCATGGGTGCAGTTCCCTGTCATAGATAGAAGATATTTTGCACAGATGTCCTGGTCCTCTGACTGTTACAGTCTTCCTATCCCTCTTCTGGGATGTCCCCTGAACCTCTGGTATAGGGGTTATATTGTGAACATATCAATTGAGGACCCCATACTTGTTCTCTGCATTTTTATCAGTTGTAGCTTTCTATGATAGCCACAGGTCTGCTGTAGAACAAGTTTCTTTGTTGAGGGGTGAGAACTACACTTAAACTAGAGCACAGGACCCATGCATTTTTCACAGTTACAGGTACTCTGTGGCCTATGTGAATATTTTAATGCAACTTGTTCTTCAAAATTTATAAATTTCAAAATTAGCTCTGGTTTATCCATTGGGTCTTGTAGAACATTATGGAACATAGTGCATATCTTGTCCTGGGAATATTTAACTTCAAAATTCATGATGTTAAAATATTCACATAGGCCACAGAGTACCTGTAACTGTGAAAAATGCATGGGTCCTGTGCTCTAGTTTAAGTGTAGTTCTCACCCCTCAACAAAAACTTTATAGATAAAAAAGCCTAGCTATCTTCATGGTAAATTATATTTTACTTTAAGGAAGAAATAATACTCAGAACAAGACTATTTGCTCAGACGTTTTCAGCAAGTACATGAGGAAGGAAATTCATGAAACTAAAATTTAGTGAGATCAGAAATGGCCCCAATACAAAATCAAAGTTGTTATAAAAACAAATTAAACTAACATCTTTGGCCATCACAGACTGAAGAAGTAACAATATAAAAACAACAACAACAACAAAAAACAGGAATACAAAGTCTACTGAGCATTAGAAAGTTAGAATAATTCCCAATTTGTGTATTATAAAAGAAAAATTGTGATCATGTCAGTAAATACAGATAAAATTAACAAAATTCACTCACAAAATACATTTGAGGTGAGCTTTCTCACTCTGATACAGACATCTGTGGCAGACGCCTTACATCATCACCTTTGTCAGAGACTGAATACACTTTCTCCTTTAGACCACCTCAGACAAGGATATCTCTGTTTTCATCTTGGCAGAAGGCTTAGAAGAAGACTCAGTAACATGAGAAAGAGAGAGAAGGCAGTCAGTTGAGGACCACCATAAAACTGCCTTTCTGCATAGACAGTATTGTTGTGTGTGTAAAAATGAGGACCACCATAAAACTGCCTTTCTGCATAGACAGTATTGTTGTGTGTTTAATCCCCCAGAGGGACCTACCTATGAGAAAGTAGGACGTTCAATAAGCAAGGTGTTTCGATGCAGCCACTTACAGATAGCAGCTTTGTGTATGTAGTCACGTATTGTGAAGGTTCAGTGTGAGAAGGGATTTTTTAATCCAATATTCATATGAAAGTAATGGACATTGTCAAAAAAGTAACTCAGAGTAGCTTGTTGAAATAAATGCAAAAGTAAAAATGATTGACCTTCTAGAGGAGAAAGGACAAAACCTGTGTGATCTTGAGGAACTCCAGTATTTCTTAGGCACAGAAGCACCTCTATAAAAAAGTGTGTTCTGTATTTCATCTAGTAAATAGTAGTGGTTTTTTGTTTTTTAGAGACACAGTTATGACCACTTGACAGTTTTATATGCCTCAGGAGTTCTACTCCTAATTCTTTTTATCTAGGCATATTAAAATGTATGTCAGTAAGCTTGAGTGCGGGTGCAGCCTCTCTTTTGTTTTGTTTTAAGTAGCAACTACTCCCAAAATAGCCCAGAAGTAGAGCAAATCAATGGCTGTCTTAGATGGGTCAGAAATGTAGTCTCTAAACAGGACTGCGCCACAGTCCTAAGGAGGGAGCTTCCGCAGACAGCAGCAGGCATACATCTCTCAGAAACTGTTGAACACACTCTGTATGATCCATTTCTATGATGCTGTAGAATAGCAGTTCTCAAACTGTGGGTCAAGACCCCCTGGGGGGTCACATAGCAGATATCCTGTATATCAGATATTGATAGTATTAATTCATAACAGCAAAATTAGTTATGAAGTAGCAATGAAAGAATTTTGTGGTTGGGGGTCAGCACAACATGAGGAACTGTCTTAAAGAGTTGCAATATCTGGACGGTTGAGAACCACTGACCTAGAATAAAGCAGAAAGGAATCTACTAGGTGCTCATTGGCCACCTGAGCTGGGAAGGATGGGAGAACTGGGGAACTTTAGTGGTGGAGGAGCATGTTTTAGTTTGGTCTGACATGGTTGTGATAAAAATGCCCTGAGAGAAGTAACTTGGGAAAGAAATGGTTTATTTTGGTTGACAGTTCTGGGTTACAGTCCATCATAGCAGAGCAGCCAGAGTGGCCAAAGCTTGAAACTGGTCACGTGGTCATGTTACATCCATGGTCAAGAGCAGAGCAGCAAATTCACCGGCCCTGTGTATGTGCTGGTTCTCAGCTGGCTTTGTCTACTCTTACACAACTCAGGAATGGTGCCACCCACAGTGAGCAGGCCTTCCCACCCTAATCAGTACAGTTAAAAGAATCCTTCAAGACACACCTACAAGATAACCTGATCTGGATAATCCCTCATTATTGAGATTCTCTTCTTAGCTGGGTATGATGGCACACACCTTTATACCTTAGCTGGGTATGATGGCAGGTGGATCTCTGTGAATTCAAGGCCAGTTTGGTTTACAGAGTTTCTAAGAGAGTCAGAGCTACACAGAGAAACCCTGTCTCAGGAAAAAAAAAAAAAAAAAAGAAAGAAAGAAAGAAAGAAAGAAAGAAAGAAGAGAAAAAAAGAAAAGAAAGAGCCCTAAAATCATTTTCATTTGAGATTCATTCTGACCATCAAGGAAGAAGTATATGTAAAGTACTTGTTAGTTCCTGCTGTTAGTGTTTACAAATGTCTTTGTCATCATCCCCCCCCCCCATTTTGTGTGTGGCAGGCACAGTATTGTAATTTGTGTGTTACCTCCCTTTGTGCTCACAAGAGTCCCTTAAGGTATCCCCTCCTTTATATTCTGCGAGTGATGTCACAGCCCAAGGTGATAACAGGACAAGAGCTAGGTGCTTGGAAACCCAGACAGGCAGCTCAGTCTGACTCCACCTCAAGGGGCTCAGGAAGTGGGGGTTCTTCCAGGATATTTGGAGATCAGGGCAAAAGAAGTGAGCAGCAGAGGTGAATCTTTCAGGAGAGACTTGAGTACTGAGGTTTTTTTGGAACTCTCTTAGATAGTGAATTCCTCACAAGTCACTAAACAATGTGCCTTCATTGGGTGGCTGAATGCTCACAGTGTCTGACTCCTGTGTGTTACTGACTGGTGTTTGTGGGGCTTCGGTCAGGACTAGCTTGGCAGCCCCAAGTCCGTTCCTGAGTGGAGGAGTGTGGATGAAGGAAGGCTAGCTATAGATGTTAAAGGAAAGACCCAGACATAGGATAGTGTCAGGAGGGCAGTTTCAATCCATTCTGAATGCGCCTCTGTTTATTCATACATTCTATTAAGTAACCAACCAAAGGTGGGGACAATGGCAGAAGACTTTTATTATCATGTATAAAGGGAAAATAGCAATTACTTCTCTTAATCCTAAAGACACTCTGTAGCTGAAAGTACTACTTGGCCTTCAGGCTCTTCATAGCTTCATGTATCACCTAGCCTTCTGGATGAGTGTAAACTCACCTGGGCCCAAGTCTAATGTTATTTAGATAGGAGCCATTCACCACCAAGGCCAGGACATCCTGCAGCCAATAAGCTAATGTCTTAAGGACAATAGGAGGGTAAGAGATGGACTTAAGAAGAGTGCAGTTCAGTCTAACAGCTTTGTACTGCAGTGGGCCATGTGTGCAGGCAGTACTAGCCCTAGAAGAGCAAGAGTTCTTAGACACGTGACAGAATGTCCTGCTTGTGCTTCCAGTAACATCCTCAGAGATGACCATGTAGGGTGACCCCTTCCTATCCTGCTGCATCTGGCCCTGCATGTTGTCACCCACATGCTACACAGGGGAGGAGAGACTGAGGGTCAGGATCATTTAATAGACTTATAATAAACCACCCTAGAAAAGAAGTTTCCATTTCTCAAGGCCCAGAGGGAGGGGAGGAAGACTCATTCTGTGTGTCTCCCATGGAGTCTTATACGCTTTCCAGTACTCATAAACATGAGTGCTACAGGACTGTAGAGAAGGCCTGGTTGGGGGTGCGGGGAGGAGAGAGCCCGATAACGAAAGTGTTAATGGAGGGAGGTCCTGGTTTAATGACCCTGTGTGTAATGCTAGGTGCGTGATGGAAAGAGGCAGTATCATTTACAAGAGTGGACTCTCATCCCTGTCAGGGACCACGCTGAGGTCACCATGAATCTCAGTCCTCCTGAACTAGCTATGAGTATATTGAACTACATCAGGAAACAGATTTATCTGCCTTTGGGCTTCACTAATCAAACCAGGGAAGCATTGAGTAGATACTAAGATGTTTACCCTGAATGTATACAGTGAATTTCCTGGATGCCTGCTTTACTTTGATTCCCATTTCAAACCTTGTGTTTTATTGAAAACATTGGAGTGAGTGAGTTGTTCAGAAAAACAAGATTGCTTAGCATGTTAGTTGACTGCATTTTCGTTTCTTCTGAGTTGTTTGTATGAATCGAGGATTTCTTAAACGTCTGCTCACTTAATGGTGGTTGATGTCTGAGGCACCCAAACTCTGCTTGGGATTTTATTTTATTTATTTATTTATGTACTATCTCATATATGTTCTCAGGTTTCTGTCTTTGGGTTTTGAATAATACAGATCACTATGTAATAGCTTGAAGTTACTGATTTGTGTATGTAGTTGCTTTATAAATTTATGACTGTTGTTAGATTAATTCATTATACTGAGGTTCTTATTTTTTCCTCTTAATTCAATGCAGAAGTAAACAGCAAGAAGTACTACAAGTATAGCACAGAGAAGACCCTGAAGTGGCTGGTGAAAAAGGTGTGTGGCCTTGCAGACTAGACAATAAGACCAGATCCACAACCATCCTGAACATCCAGAAAAATACCTGTAGAGATCCCAGGTCCTGTCCCTGAATGCCAGGAGCTCTTGTGGTTGGATGTTACTCACATAATTGGGCTTTCTCTCCATTCTGGGGTTTCTCTCCATTCTCGAAGCACCTCCCACCATGCTGTGTGGGTCTTAGAAAGCCACGTGTTGATACCATTCAGTACTGCGGCCCCACCTCTCTTTAGCTGTTCAGCCATCTCATTTTCTGACTGCTGGTGTCTCAGTCACTGTTGTATTGCTGTGAAGAGACATGGCCAAGGCAGCTCTTGTAAAAGAACTTATTTAATGGGGTATTGCTTATAGTTTCAGAGGTTTAGTCCAGTATCCTCATAGCAGGGTGGATGGTGCTGGAATAGTAGCTGAGAGATACACCCTGGTCTTAGGCAGAGAGAAGCAGAGACTGGACCCAGCCTGGGCTTTTGAAACCTTACTTCCTCCAGCAAGGCCATGCCTAATCCAACAAGGCCATGCCTCCTAATTCTTTCAAAGAGTTCCTTTCACTCCTTGGTGACTAAGCATTCAAATATGTGAGCCTATGAGGGTCATTCTTATTCAAAACACCACAGCTGGCAAAGACAGTTGTAGATGCTTAAATATTTCCTGGATTTCAAGTGGACTGTAAGCCATCTGGAAAGCTGTGGCATTACAAAGTTAAGTTGAAAGTACATCCCTGCATTTACCTTCTAGGTCAGCCAAACTGTGGCAGCATTGAAAGCCAATAATGTCAATGTTGGAGCCCGGGTACAGTCATCTGCATATTTCTCTGGTGATCAGGTTTCCAAGGACAAGGAAGGTAAGCAAAGGGTTGCCCCAGAATTAACCTGTGTCTGCTCTCCGAGGGTTTCAAACTGTAGAAGCTTCCTGTTCTCCCATGCGGGCAGGGGTTCCTCTGATCTCAGACACTGACAAGTTTCCAGCCTCAGGTGTTGCCAGTCACTTAACTGTGGCTTGAATCATTTGTTTAGTGAATAGTATTTTATACTAATGGTGATAGTGATTCGTAGCAGTCTTGTTACCCTTTACCGAGTGTTTGTAGTGTGACAGGCATACCAGACCTGTCATAAAAGGCAAGGCTGTGCCAAATTCCTAGCTAGCAAATAGTGAAGCCAGAGGAATGCCCATGGAGGTTCTCAGTGAGACTACATGCCCTTTAGCCTTTGCCTTTGGCCTGACCATCATCCTGCCTCAGGGTCCCTTACAGTCCCAGTATCTCACCTATCCTGAGAGAGCTCTTGGTATTTCTAGAGAAAATTAATTCACTTTGCAAAAAAATTTTTTTTGTTTTATATTTCCATCTTTTCTTCCCTTCCTTCCTTCTATCCATTCTAAGAACTGAACCTACAGTCTTAAGCATGTTAGGCAGACACTGCAATTCTACATTCTGCTGAGTCAGTTGTTCTTCCTGGGGTGTGTGTGTGTGTGTGTGTATAAAATGAGTTCTTACAAAGCAAATACCTAGGAGAGACAAATCATGTAAATGATTTTACTTATTTTGTTTTATAGAATAGAGCATACTCATTCCTGTTCAGTAATTAGCTTTCGTCTTTATTGAAGCAAGCTTACAAAAATGTAGCCATAAAAAAGAGATGCAAATAGTTCTTGCTGTTGTTAAAACTGGTTTGTAATTTTTTTTTGTATTTGGAACTTCAACTAAGAAAGCTGGCCTGAGTCTTTGATTTGTAAAGGGTTATTTAGGTCCATCCACTGTGCAGTCGCACCTATGGCAGCATCCCATATTAGATCTCATCCGTTGTATTTCACCTTTACTGACAGGTAGGTCTTAATGTCCCTGTTTTACCAATGCAGAAACTGAAACTAGAGTTCAGGTGAATTTCCAAAGCCACTAGAACAAGAATTTGAACCTGGATCAGTTTGACTCAAACCACTATAGTTAGTTGTGTTTTACACTTTGGGGGCCCACCACCCAGCTCCCAAATAAATACATGGAGACTTATTCTTACTTATGAATGCCTGGCCTTAACTTGTTTCTAGCCATCTTTTCTAACTTAAATTATCCTGTTCTCTTTAACTGCGTTTTGCCTCTGGGCTTTTTAGTCTATCTACTTTTTAGTCTATATACTTTAGTCTATATACTTTTCTTTCCTTTTCACTCTGTCACTGGCTGTGTGGTTGGGTGGTTGGCCCCTGTTGTTCTCCTCTCTTTCTTTTCTCACACCTCACTCTCCCCCCCCTCACTTTTCTCCTATTTATTCTCTCTGCTTGCCAGCCCCACCTATCCTTTCTCCTGCCTTGCTGTTGGCAGTTCAGCTCTTTATTAGCCCAATCAAGTGGTTTAGGCAGACAAAGTAACACAGCTTTACAGAGTTTAACAAATGCAACAAAAAAGAATGCAACACCTCTTTGTATCATTAACAAATGGTCTACAGCATAAAGGAATGTAACACATTTTAAACTAATATTCCACAACACACCACTATAATGATTACTAATTTTTTTTTTCATTCCCATTCTGTTTCTTTCAGAGGATTACGTTCGCTATGCCCATGGTCTGATCTCTGATTACATCCCTAAAGAATTAAGTGATGACTTATCTAAGTCCTTGAAGTAAGTGTCATTCATCTCCAGAATGATTAATAAGCTCCTTTGTGCTTATTACTGACAGTGAGTCGCTCGATGACATGGCATGTCAGGTTGTGATAAGACGTTATCCTTGGGCTGTGTCACACTATGTGAACCGTAAGTGATTTTTAATGGACATTAAACAGAATGATTTGATTTGGTAGAAACTGATTGTAGCAACTTAAGTTCAGGGTTAAAATTATAGCTTTGTACAGTTTTAGAAAATAACTCGTGTTAAAATTTTATCCCTTATGGCAGTTAATTTGGTTCTTTGTGGTCATTTTAAGAGAGATTGCAGTTATAGGATCTTCAGCAAGTACCTTCATGGTGCCAAGTGTTCAGGTCACTGCAGAATGGTGTCATGAAGGGAGTGGTCAGTCTTCAGGATGACGTGATTTGTAGCCTTCCTTTATGAAGATCTTTAACGTATTTTAAAGATTTTTTTCTTGTTAATTTTCAAAATATTAGTAGTTGGTATTAAAATTTTGCATATGTGATGATTTAATAGCTTTTCCTGAACTTAATTAAGTCCTTTTTCTTCTTTATTGTGTAATAGGTGATAATATAGTTGCTACTTACAGCAAATTCCATAGGTCTTACTGTTCTAGTTTTCTTTCTGCTGTTGTGATAAAACACTAAGCAAAGCAACCTGGGGAAGGAAGGGATTCTTTTGATCTACAAGTTACAGTCCATCTACAAGGGAAACCTGGGCAGGAACCTGGAGCAGAAACCATGATAATAAGAGACACAGCTTATTATCTTGCTTATGTAGCTTTCTTATACAGCCTGGGGCCGCCCCTGATGGGCATGGTGCTGCCCACAGTGGGCAGGGCCCTCCCTCATCTATCAAGACAGTACCTCACAGACAGACCCACAGGCCACTCAGTCTGTTTAAGGCAGTTCTTTAGTTGAGGCTCCCTCTTCCTGGGTGATTCCAGGTTGTGTCAGTTTGACAGTAAAAACTACCCACCACACCTGCTTCAAAAAACTGTAGTGGAAGCTGGGTTTTACCAGTTACGGCTGTGGACAGCTTCTTTTCCTGACAGTCCCTCTGCTTGATGTTTCTCTGGATTGCCAAGCTGCTTGTCTTGATAGAAGCCTATGTTTCCTCTCCATTATTTGGGCTGATTTTTTTTCCTTTACACTGAATTTGGGTTAAATATTTTGATTGAAAGGTAATGCAAACTAAACTACTCTTTGATAGAGAAACAATGATGTTCATGTGACTTTCCCCAACAGTAACAGTACTTTTCACTTTTAAAGAAAAGTCATGGGGAGGACTGGTGGGAGAAGGGAACTGGGATTGTCATGTAAATCAATCCTGTTTCTAATTCAAATTAAAAAACCAGTTGAAAAAAAGAAAGAAAGAAAAGAAAAGAAAAGTCATTATGTCATTTATAAAGAAATAAAATGCTCCTCTGCCAAAATGCAATCGTGGAGGTGAAAACCGAGCAACTCACTGCAGCAAAGAGGATTCATGTGTGTGTTAGCTAGTGTGAGGACACAGGGGCAAGATCTCACTCACTCAGCAAAACCACCCTCTTCACTGAGGTGAGCAGGACAGTGTGTGAAGGTCGGGTCCCTCCATCAAATAAGGCTCACTGCAGCTTCTCTGTTGTCTGTGAGACACCCCTTGACAATGGTGCTTATTTTTAACTTCCTTAGGCTTCCAGAACCTCCATCTTCAATTCCAAACCCTCCATCAAAGGTAAGAAACCATGACCAAGATATCTTTAGGGACTTAGAAAACTATTGTGCTTTTAACCATCACTTCAGCCTTTTCTATTCTATTTTAAAAGGAAAAAAAAAATCTATCTTGCATGACATGGTATAACTTGAACTCCGAATTGTATGACTATTTTAGTTTGTAGATTTTTCCTGGTTGGTTTTAGCAAGGACATTTCTGTTAACATATAGAGATCAGGGCTAGAAAGCTGACTCAACAGCCGTGAGTGTTTGCTCCTTCTGCAGAGAACCAGAGTTGGTTCCCAGCACCCATGATAGGTGGCTTACAACCACCTATAACTGGCTCCAGGGCTCCAGGGAGTTCCATATCCTCTTTGGCCTCAATGCACAATGTACACACCTTTGCAATCACACATGTGCACATAAATAAAAATAAAATAAATCTTTACAGACATAAAATTAAATTGTTTATTTATTTATTGCCCCTTGAGATGGGGGTCTCAATATGTGGCTCAGGCTGGCCTTGAACTCAGTCCTTCTGCCTCGGTCTCCCAAGTCTGGGATTACAAGGTGTCTACAGCCATGCTGGCTGAAATATTCTTGCACTGACTACATATAACTGGAAGTCATTTTGCCAAATTTAATTGTCATTGGCACAAAGGGGCACAAGCATGATTTTTCTAACACAAAGAATCCTTTGAAAAAAGGATGACCTGGGCACTTTCCTGAGAGTATTTCTGTGTGATTGTCCTCTGTTAATAGGAACCCTTTGTATGTCTATGTTCAGGAGTATATAAGGATGTGTGTGTGTGTGTGTGTGCACACGAATTTTCATGTATGTGGTTGTGGGTGTACATTCACATATGCACACATGCCTGTGAAGGCCAGGAGACAGTCTCAGACACTGTTCTTCAGGAAGTACCATCAACCTTGTTTTCCTATTGTTTCTTACTGGCCTAGAGCTCAAGTAGGGCCAGCCTGGCCATCACACCCAGGGGATCTGCCTGTCTCTGTCTCCGAAGTGCTAGGATTATAAGCATGATCACTAAATCGCTTTGCTCTGTGGATTCTGGAGACAAAACTTCAGTTCTCATATTAGCTTGGCAAGCATTCATCTCTCCAGCCTTTTGGGGATGCCTTTCCCTTTTCAGGATAGTCTCAGAATTGCCACTGTGACTCTTCCATAGCTTATGTTCATTTCCTGGATCCAGATGGAGAAGCCGGGTGTTGGCGACACCTAGTCACAACTGTGGCCTCCCTCCCATTTCTGGCCAAATCTTAGATCCCTATGTGCTACTCCAAGATGAGAACAAGCACACACCTTGATTGTCTAAAGCAGTGGTTCTCAACCTTCCTAATGTTGCAGCTTTCATTCTAGTTCCTCGTGTTGTGGTGACCCCTAACCATGTGGCTATTTTGGTTGCTACTTCCTAACTTTAATTGTGCTACTGTTGTGAATCATATTGTAATTGTCTGATATGCAGGATATCTGATATCCAACCCCTGTGAAAAGGTTATTCAACCCCCGGAAAGGGGTCACCACCCACAGGTTGAGAACTACTGGTCTAGTCATCCAGAGACATTTTTCACTCCCATAAAAAAATAGTATTAGACAGAGATCTACAAAAGTTCTCATATTTTTAAAACAAGATTTATTTTTTATCTTATATGTAAGTATTTAGCCTTCATGTGTGTAAGCGTAACATGTGTGCAGTGCTTGCATAGTCCAGAGTTATAAATGGGTGTGAGCTGCCATTTGGGTGCTGGGTACTGAACGGAAGTCCTCTCTAAGAGCAACCAGTGCTCTTAACAACTGATTCATCTTTCCAGACCAGTTTTCACCGTTGATACCTTTTGGAATAAAGTATTTCTTCCTTTTCTTTCCCCATTGTTGTTGTTGTTTTCAGACATCCACCTCCCACCACACCTGATATTTCCTCCTTTTTTTTAAAAAAAAAAAAGTATTTTAATTTCATTTTCCCACTTAACGTTTTTTTTGGTTTTTCGAGACAGGGTTTCTCTGTGTAGCTTTGATGCCTATCCTGGCACTCCCTCTGGAGACCAGGCTGGCCTTGAACTCACAGAGATCTGCCTACCTCTGCCTCCCGAGTGCTGGGATTAAAGGCGTGTGCCACCAACGCCTGGCCACTTACTTATTTTTGAGGCAGCATCTCTATATACAGCTCAGGCTGGCCAGGACCTCACAGTCCTGTACCTGCACCTGAAAGCACTGGGGTTATAGCCATGTCCTGCCATACCTGTCTGTCAGCTACTTTAGCCCACTGTGCACTAACTCTGTTGAATCAGTAGCCTTTACACACACACATATATGTATAATTTAATATGTATACATAATTTTTTAGTCTTCAGGAAATGTCATATATCTACATAGTGTGTTCTGATCATAACAAGTAATATATTTCTTTAGTTCATCCTTCTCCATCTTCTCCATTCCAGTTTTCTGTTTGTTTTTTTAATTTCCAAAATTTAACTAATTTGTGGTTTTATAATTTTTTATTAAGATCCAAGGTCAGCAATTTTTCTGTAAAAGGCAGTGACCTTAGAGTCAACAGTGATAAGACTGAAACAGTGACTTTAGACCTTCCTAATGCTGTGACCCTATAATACAGTTCCTCATATTGTTGTGAACCCCAACCATGAAATTGTTTACATTGCTACTTCATGACTGTAATTTTGCTACTGTTATAAATTGTAATGGAAATAGGTTTCTTCTGATGGTTTTAGGTGACCCCTGTGCAAAGGTCCTTTGACTCCCAAAGGGGTTGTGACCCACAGGTTGAGAACCAGTGCTTTAGTCAGTGAGAAGACTGAAGCAGACAGTGCTCTGGGTTTCCTGAGCAGACAGTGAGTGATGAGACGGCTCAGCCCTGGTACTTAGTGAGAACACAGCCACTTAATGGCACACATTAAGTCTGGTTCAAAAGAACATCTTTCATAAAAGCCGGCATTGGCTGGGTTTGGCCTGTGAGCCTTAGTTTGCCGGAATGTTTAGATCTTATGCTCCTCAACCTCAGGCTCAGCCCTAGGCTGTTGCCTTTTACTCCTCCGTGTGTCCTAGGAATTCTGGGGTTCCGAGCACACTGTACTAGATGATATAGTGTAGTTTAAACAGCACAGGCTGAAGCTGGGTATTAATCCCACCTTTAATTAACATCTTTAATCCCAGAACTCAGAAGTAGAGGCAGGCAGATCTTTGAGTTCCAGTCATCCTGATCTACAGATTGAGTTCCAGGACAGCCAGGGCTACCCAGAGAAATCCTGTCTTGAAAAACCAAAAAAAAAAAAAAAACCAGTTAAAAAAGTATTTAAACAGTACAGACTGTCTCTGATCTTCCTATTTGTGCCCAGAAGTTGACTGGTTTTTATAAAGACATGAGTGCTTGCTTTCAGGAGTCTGTATTTGGTGTCTCCTCCACCCCACCCCATCCCTTGGTCTTATGTCTGCCTTTGCTGAGGCCCAGCTTCCCACCTGTTAGGTTTTTGATTTGTCACTGTCAACTTGCAGAGCTGAATACGGTTACTTGGCTTGGAGACTAGGGACTGTTGGTCTAGGGTACACTGCTTCTTTCTCTTCCTAGAATATACCTGCTTGGTCACATTCTTTTGTGTTTCTTTCTGGCCCACTTGTCATTTCTTCTGAAGCAACTGCCAGTCCATAATGATCCAGACTTTTAAATATCGAAATAACAGGAAATGCCATATCCCCTTATTTCCCAGTGTATATAGCAGAATTAGCATTGAAACTAGTCACATGCAGAAGACACTGCTTCCCTTCCTTCGCTGCCCCCTCCACTTTTCATCCTTCTCTTCCCCTCCCTTCCTCTCCCCTCCCCTCCCCCCACTTCCCCCTCCCTTCATTTTTCTTCCCTTCCACACCTTCTCTTCCTCTTCTTTTCCTGGTCTCCTTTAATAAACACTTTAACTGTTTTCTCATTTGGATCTTAGCTTTTAAAGCAGCTTCCCTCTTCCTACAT